AATAAAATATTTCGAGGAAATGGACAAGAAGGGATAACTTACATAGACTTCTCCTGATCTCCTGCCAGCCCAAGCATTCCTCTACATACTAAACTTGGTTGCTAATCACAATTCCGTATGGTTGGGCTCCTCTTCAATCTCGAGATTATGCTATCATGCATTAAACATTAATCACAAGTCATAAAAGGCACTTGGGAACCTTTTTGCTGCTTCTTGTATTGTGGGTAGATGAGTCTGCTTTGGAATAATTTATGCTCGCAGGGCACTGCATGCTATAGGGCTTTGGTCCACATGAAAAAATTGCCTGTCAAATTAACGTCTACCCACTCACGAAAGATGTGGAAAGATTATACATGCTCACAGAACATACAAAGGCCTTCCAGGAGTGAGCACCTGATTATTCTCAGAGACAGTATCATCTAGTCTGTCGGCATTACACTATCTAGAGTGTGAGAAGAACATCTGCAAAAATGACTACACAAATATTTGAAAAGTGCAGAGCAACATTATTTATTGTATCAGATGCAGCACGAAGACGTATTAAAAAACCTCAGAATCTGTTTCAGAAAAATTTCCAGTGCCAAAATTCTTCACATGCCAGTTCCATTCACAGCGTTTTTGTATCTACATGAAAATCTCCCAAACTTAACCTATTAACCAATCAACCCATTAAAGAACTTGCAACAACTTGAATTTGGAGCATAAACATGCTCGAGTTGATGCAAGCATATTCAGACAAAGGAAAAGATTGGCACTTGGAGATTCCACGTGGTCAATATCTAGACGAGTTAATCATCACTACTTCCTTCAAGCTCAAGATAAGACGTTAATTGTTTAGTCGAATCTATTCCGCCAAATATCAAATCAAACTAGTTTTTGAATGTTTGAACAAAAGCACAATTGTAGAACAATTTCCTGTGAAATTAAACCAATAGTTCAATTCCGCTAAATAGCATGTCAAAAATTGGTTACTTAAGGCAATTTCTTACATTCTCTTGCCGTCTGAGCAGCTAGCTCTCGTGTAGGACAATGATAACAGCTTGGACACCATCCTTTGAAGCATGCTGAGTACATGAAAATTTGTCAGTGAATACGATGATCAACCTTGAGAAAGCACTCATATGTGTTCAACTATACCTTAAGTTTCATAAGCATAGGACAGACGAAAGCCAATGTTTTGCCAGAACCAGTTGGAGCACATGCAAAGCATTCCCATCCCTAATAGAGGATGGTAACAAAGTAAATGTGGGGAATGATTGAAACAGTAAGTCAGAAAATATTATAAAATTTCGGAATAAGTACTGAACAAAACAAAATAACCCCCCAAAAAAACATACAGATAGTAGGGCTGGAATAGCCTGCCTTTGAATTGGAGTTAGCTCTCTAAATCCAAGTTCTACCAAATTGCGTAGTAAATACGGTTTACATTTGTACCTGTGCAAGGTCAAATATATGCTCACTCAGTCAAAAAGATTGAGCATGAACATTTATAAAAATAAGGTGAAAAAGCACAAGATAGTCAACTTTAAAATAGCTAGAAAGTATCCAAGCTGAACACAAACTATTGTTGATGAAGAGTTCTAAGCCTCAAAACAAATGCAATTAAAAAAAGAGCGGAGAAAGGAAAACAGAAAACAGAATAGAAATATGAAAAGCACAAAAAACAAATGTAATGTATGCCCTCTGCTTCCACACATAAAACTAAGGCTGCGTCATAACTTCATCCATGTGCAAAGTTTGATTCTTCGTAAGCAGGCAACAAAGTTTAACAATGAAAGCAGATTTGAAAATCAGTGTACAAAACAGAAAAAAGAGAATTTTTTTTATCAATCAACTTCATCTGCTTGGATTATGAAAAAACCAGAGGAAGCCATGAAAACAACTGTACATCTCATTTCCAACCCCTTCCAAGTCTCCAGTGAAAAGTTTAAGAAGGTTCCTAACCTAAAACAAAGCCTCAAAGTATTGGCAAGGTATGGTCCTTTTATCTCTCCCTCACTTCTTCCTTCCTTTTCTTAATCAAAAAAGAAAAAATTTAATAAATTAGACATGATATCCACCATTCCAAGGGACAGCAATGAGCATTATCAATGGGAGGACGAAAATAGAAAATCTGAAAACAAAAATAGAAAAATCCAAAGGAAAATCCTACCTCAGATCTTCAGCACAAACACAGAGGTGACAGGAGGACAACGACGCAAGAAACCATACTCATGGATGCAAGATGAGAGTGGGGGAAGGTTGAGAGTTGAATCTCGATGTTTAAAGAAACACAGAGAGCGATGGATATAGGAAACAAAATGTCCTTCCATTTTAAAAGGAAGGCGATTAAAATTTGTTTAAATTAAGCAGTAGGAATTATTATTGTTGCCACTAAAATTATGATATTTAGATGCAGCAGAAACACTGTGGCCGGAAATAAGATACGAAGAAAATTTGTTGCGAGAAACAAATTTAGATATTGAATATTAGTGACGAATTAGTGATTTTTTTTGCTGTAATATTAAAATTGTCACTAATTAAATTCACATTATATCTTTATGAATAACAATAATTTTTTACCACTAAAACCGTGACATTTTTAGCCGCAATTTAAATACTACCGCTAAAAGTCCAATTTCTTGTAGTGTCCTCTTCTCCATGTAGCTTGGTCTGAGCTGACTTCATGGATGCCGAGCTTCTCTGGAATTACTTGGTTAGATGGCACCGGACGGACCAAGTCAGGTCCATGTGGGATCAAGCATAATTTATGGTATCATCAAAGATAAAAATAGTTAAATATTTTTTTCTTTCCTTCTTTTTCCCACTCACCAGAAAACACTCCTAGTGGAACAAAATCCTTGATGGGCCAGCCCAGAATTACAAATCAGACCCAAAATTGCAAACTAGGCCTAGACTATGAATGTGAAGCAACAAAGGCCTAGTTAAAATTTCAGCTAGACCAAATCCCACCTTCTTGAGAAACCTATTCCGTCACTAGTGTGCGTAGGAGTCTCCGTCCTAGATGAGGGTATATGTAGGGACACAGTTATTAGGGACATATTGTCAGTCTCACAAGATCATCTCATCCATTACGAGATAGAGCAAGTTTTAAGGAATCACCATGTTATCACTTCATTCATTATGAGAATAAGGTGAGCTTCATGTAAACACCACACTTCATGTTACGAGGATGGTGCCCCATGAGAGCCCCTTGGTTCTAACTTCACTTGCCTATAAATTGTAAGTCCTGCCTACACATGAGAGTATCACACATATCTCAATTTACTACATATCTCAAATAATAAGATTTTTTGGGCGCCGTAGTCATTCTCAGTGAAATTTGTCATCCAAACCGAACCACCTAATATTTGTATTTGCTTATGTTGAACACTCTTTATTTTATTCTTAATTAATTTTGCTTAAACTTACTTTTGTGCATCATCGATCCTCGTCAACCATAACTGGTTCTAGTTAAATAGATGATAATTCATTGAAAGAAGACAATTATTTCAAATTTCAATATAGTTATTTATTTCTTAACTAGGCCTCATATTTATGCAAGCACGTGCCACGTATTTCGACGAGCCACCTTCACAGTCCTGTCAAGACTCTCTTAATGGGTCAGCCCAGAGTTCAAAGCTGGCCCAAAATAATTTGGTGATTAATCATACTTTGTCCCCCTAAACTATGACATATGTCTTACTTTGCTTCACGAATTTATTTAATTTCTCAAATTGTGCCCTCAACTATTTGAATTGGTTTCACATTACCCCTAAAAACAAACATGATTGAGACAATATGAAACAAATAATCATAATTAAATATGCAATATAAAAAATATAATAATTGAGAAAGCAAAATAACAAACCCCTCCTCATATTTTGAAGAAACAAATTAAGTGTAGCTTACCCATAATGTGGATTTGCATTCAATTCGTGTTTAAATAGTTCATATATAGACAAGTCGTTAAGTTTTTGACAAAATGATCACATGTTGATCACATGATACCATCTAAAAGAAGAGTAATACTATTTGGACCTAAAAATTTGACTTAATTTGTTAACATAATGATGTGGTTTCAATAAAATCATTGGATCAACATCAAGTTTCAATGTTTAATGGGCTCCACAGTCAATTCAAGGGTCATAGTGAATTAGGTCAACAAATTATGTCAAAATAGCATTGCTCCTAAAAGAATGATACATAGTTACTCTCGTAAAAAAAAAACATAATAAATTATATAATTAGAAACTAAAGTGATACAAATTAAAATTTTAAGGACTAAATCAATAAAATTATTATAATGAGAAGCAAACTAAAAAACACAGAAATAGTTTAGGGACAAAATGTTGATTTTATTTCTTATTCTTTTGTCCACCTCTCCACGTTTTGAGTAAAGGATCATAGGTGAGGGTGCGTACGTGAGAACTTGTCATAACAGATGACTGACAGGAAATGAAAGAGCAGAATCAATGATATATTTAAGCTGAATTCTTATTATAAGGCATACAAACAACCATTGTCAACTGGCATTACTCAGCTTAATTAAATTAAGAACCCGATTTCAAATACCACCCTAGCCTCTTCTTCTCAGTCTCCCTTCAATCAGAGTAGTGTAACTGAGGACTAAGATGAAGGTTGAGAGTAAAAATTGTCCGAACATATCATCAAAACCCCCATTAACGATGATTCTCCAAGCTCCACCGATGAAACAAACCAGGTTCCATAAGACAAGACTAACCAAAGGAACCATGAAAAGCCCAGCACCTTGGAAATCAAAAGTTCCCTTTTCATATTTCTCCATCTTCTCTTTGTCAATCGCTTTGTTCGTTAACCTGAAAACTGTTGCTGTGATGCCAATCTTTTTCATAACAGCGTCAAGACATCCAAATAAGCTTCCTGTCACTGTCTTTATGATCCAAATTCGTTGTTCATAGCACCATGTCCTCCACGGGTCTCCACCGGACACCACCTCGTGTAAGTGTTGCAGAAGTGAAGACACCCATATAATCGCAAATACCGCAAACCATGGACTTGTAAACTGATACAATAACGAATAAAGTAAGGCTATAAAGCCCCTCTTCAATAGCTCATATAAATCTTGTGACTATTGGTATATTTAATCAGGCGGAGGCTATTAGGACACCTATTTTTAGTTATGGACAAACAAGGCCAAAACATGTGTACCGGGTGTGCGACCTATCAACCTACTAGCAATGGGAGAGAAAACATAGCATGTCACAACAAATTGAACTTCTAAAGCTCTTTTTTGAATGTGAAAGCTTGTTTGTCTTTAACGAAAAATATGTAAGATAACAGAATCGTTTCCGCTCAAGGGTCTATTGCAAAGAAGATAATGCTATATTTCACCGTCACGTGTGAATACCTAATATTATGTGATAACTACTTTTTGCACACAACGGCTCATTATTGGATTATAATTCAACTTGTCATTGATAACGCGTTATCACATTTACTCCAATAACGAGGAGAATAGAAACATTATTACATACCTTAGGATAGAGAATGATGCCTTTGTAGAAGCAAAATTGGGGAACAATGCCAAGTATGAGAAATGGGAGGGTGGCGAGAGGCTGGAATGTGAGGTACCCATAACACATAGTTTGTAGAATAGACATCTTGGGCATTGCATAAGAGAGAGGGCAGAATTTCGAGAGAGTGACTTGGAGGAGAGCAGAATTAAACTTTCTCAGTTGAACCATAGCGTCCTTCACATCAATGGCGGTGCAGCCCAAGAAAGATGGTCTCTTAGGGTAATTGTATACAGAAGTCCACCCCTTACAGTGTATAAGATAGCCAGTGAATGTACTCTCCAACATGAAGTCATATGAGAAGCCTATCTGTTTTAAGAAAGAAAAAGAAATCATCATTTCAGAAACTGAATCGTCGAGCATTCCAAAACATTTTCGTAATTTTCCGTTAGAAAAAAGGTTAATTGTTTTTTATCTCCACGTGTATTCGGATACAAATAACTTAAAATTATGCGCATTACCCCCTTCTAGATATATGCCAAAATGAAATTGTTACTTTAATTATTAAAGTTAATGGAGAGTATGTTACACACGCCCAAAACATATTGTGGGCTTTATTTTCATTATTTACCTCCAAAAGAACATTATTTAAATACTTAAAATACCTTTTATAATATATAGTATAATAACCAAATAGATAGGACATCAGTTCTAGATCAAAAACATGTAAGAAAAATATAAGTGATTTTCAGTCACGGATCAAAACCTGAGAGAAAAAAAAACTCAACATTTTTTATTGAAATTGGTTAGTTGTTGTCATGTTTCATTAATTTTATGGTCAAGAGAATCAAATGAATAATTTCATTTTAAAACATGAGTATTATGGTATTTTTTAATTTTGTTAATGACGTCAACCACTCACTTTTGTACATAATTACAAAAGGATAATATGTATACTTTTAAACGTTAAGTAGGTAAGATACTTTTAGCCAAAATCATAGGACGGAAAAAAGCAATTAACCTTCAGAAAAATAATAACGGGACTCATTGATGCAACCGTTCACTTAACTTGAAATGCAAAATTTGAGAAATATTATAAAAAGTGTAGCAGTGCTGTTATTAATGTAGTAGCTATAACATATTTAAAGGATTAGGGCTTGCCTCAGAACCCCATTGCGTGCCCTTCTCGAAGGTACAAGTTGCCAAAAACTGAGCTTCTTTTACTAACTCCTCCGATGATTCTCCCTTGTTGCCACGCTCCCCATTGTTACTACGTAGTGAATCAATGAACATGTCCGAGTGGCCAAAGTCCAGCGTGGGTTGAGGGTGAGAGAATTCTGAATAAGAAGCTTGAGAATTAGTATTCAAAGAAAATTACACTTTGATCCTCTCAACTATGGCTATGATCTCACTTGGTCCCCTCAACTACGGAGAGAAACATTATCTTCTGTATTATTTGAATTGTTTTCACATAAACTTAAAATCAAACGTATGACTTCATTTTGATTGAAAATGTCTGAATATAAAGTAAAATACACATTTTTCAATAATTATGATTGAGATAATACGAAAATAATAACTGTAGTTAAAAAGTGCAATGTGATAAACGTAAGAGTTGAAAGGGAACTGAGATCATAGACATGGTTGAGTTAAAGCTTGGGTGGGTTCTATGGACCAACTACATGAATAAATGACGTTCCCAAATGCTCTTTTTGGTGCCAAATAGCTTATGTGTTAGAGTTGGAAATGTGGAACCTTTTTGCGTAGGGCTTCCATACAATGCAATCCTCTTGATGTAGTATCCAGTGCCGGACAAAACAGGTCCGTTCAAGCCATCCATGCCTTGCCACTTAGTCTGGGATTCAACTTAAAATTGCATTATACGACTCTATAGGTTGAAGTATTCATCGCATGCAAGAACGTAAAAGCATGTACCTTGTACGCGGATCTTGATTGGCCATCGTAGATGTCATTCTTGCTAACGTTGTAGAATATTTGAGGGAATTGAACGAATGCTAATGAATGAGACATCTTAGGATCGAGATGGAAACACATTGCTTGTCGAGCTGAGGTTGGATCGTTGCAGTACATATCGCAATCCAAAACCAGCAGGTAAGGGGCGTTGCTAATGATCCCAGACACTCGAAGCTGCATGGCAACAAGGTATCACATTTAGTGCTTTTAATGTACTTTATTTTATTTTATTTTTTATTTTTGAGAGAGAGGAGAGACATACAAGGGTGTTGAGAGCTCCGGCCTTGAAGCGATGAGGATATAATGGTTTTTTTTCACGAGAAACATAGACAAGGAGTGGCAGCTTCATCTCATTGTTATCTCCATTCCCTCTCTTGTCTAGAATTATCTGTGATAATGGAAAGTAAAGTTTACATGATCACTGGTTTCAAGTTTAAACCAGAAAATTAATCCAAAAAAAAAAACCAAACAAACAATTACAGGAGAAAAAAGACAGCGGTGTTTGAATCTTAATCAATAAAAAACAGAAGGACAATTGGATTAATGAGTCATGTTAAAAAAAATTTGACAATACCCACTTATCCAATGTTCCCAAGCTCCTAGCCCATTGCTATAATACAACTGCACTATGCTAGTTTCACGGTCTTAAAGTGGGCTGAAACCTAGGCTACCCACACACCTTATAGGTCTGAAAACATGATGCGCATATGAAAGGGACAAGCACGAAGGATAGTATAAAGAATAATTACATACTTACTAAATTATTTATTAAATTATATATATTAAAGATCTTTGAAAATTTTGTGCCTTCCCACTCACCCCCTATATTTTATATTTATGTTTGGATCAATCACAAATTATTACAAAAATAATAAAAATACCCATAAAAAATTTAAATCACCCAAAAAAATTATAATTTTTTTTGTTGTAAAATGACTTTATAAGAGTTATAAAAATATCAATTAAAATTATAAAATTTAAAAATATCCCAATTTTTTTTTATTTTTTTTTGGGTATAATAATCTTCTCCCAAATTGAATTTCAGGCCATCGCAATTGGTGATGGAATGGTTAGTGAAATGGTGAGTAAGAAAGAAATGATGATAGCACTTTTAAGGCAGTGAAAAAGACAGCAAATGACTGAGGGGTGTGAACTTATAAGTTCAATAATTACGCAGCCCAATAATTTTAGAATAAACATTTTGTAGGTAGGCTCCATCCAGTTGAATTTCAGCCATTATAATTGTTTTTTTTTATTTTAGCAATATTAGGATCATGACCTAATTTACTATAACTTTTATATTAACTGTGGATTTTATCAAACATTAAAATTTGATATTTATCTAATAGTTTTAATAAAATCATGTCATTAGGTCAACAAATTATATTAGATTTTTAGGTTTAAATAATAATAATTTTATTTTTTTTTACTTTTTGTTGAATGTTACACATGAAAGCAGTGAATAAAACAGCAAATGCCTGAATGTTACAAACTTAACGAGGAAAAAACGCCCCGATTGAAGCCCAGGTTATTATTTTTTGAGTTATAAGTTAGGGTATAATTGAGCACAAAATATTATAATTAATTATAAAAATTATAGCTAAAATGTGAAGTTACACTTTTAGAGTTGTCTATTGTACCGAAAAACAAATTTCGATACTTTTATTATATTTATGATTTTTTTTTATATTTATGAGTATTTTTATTACTCTGACAGAAAAAAGTAATAAAAATAATTATCACAATAATGATAAAAAACACCCACAAATATAATAAATTATTCACAAAAGTAATAATTTTTTTGGTATCAAAGAAAAATAATTACTACAACAGTGATAAAAATACTCACAAATATGGTAAATTACTTACAAAAAGTGATATTTTTTTTTGTAAAATGATTCACAAAAATTATAAAAACACCCATTAAATTAGTAAATTTTGAAGATATAGTACCAAACTTTTTTTGTTGGTCTCGTAGTCAAATCCTACACTTTTACCATTACAATTAATAGAGATAAAGATGTAATTAATTGAAACTATTCATAATATTTTATGATCGATTATAAAGAATTTTAATTAATTATAATTTTATTTTTAAAAAATAATAATTTTAAATTCGATACTGAAACTTTTTATTTGCTAACCTTTCCATCAAGTTGAATTTCTTACCATCATAATTGATATTGATGTTTGAATGCTTTGAAATGACCAAAAAAAAAAAACATTTATAAGATTAGAGAGTTTAATGGGATAACAAAACAAAAACTTGTAGTTTACCTGAACAAATGGGTCACGGCCTTGACCCGTGGTGGTGTTAACATCTTCAACGGCAGTGCTGGAGCCGCTGCCACTTTTGACAAAGTTTTTCAAATGCTCGTATTTTGACTGCACGGAATATATTCGCATGCAAAAATTAATATAAGCTAACGCTTTTGATTATGGTACCCAAAAAAAATAAAAAATTGCCAATCCTAAGGGTTAGGCAATTAAGTCTTACAAACCCAAAAGTTTATGGACAAGCCCTTGTTTATTCTTCTCGACCCCTTTTCTTCCTTTGTCGTCTATTTTTTTTTTCTTTTCTTTTCTATTTTTGTTTAACGGCGAAAGATGTTTGAGGAGCTTACGCGCATCTTTACTAGTTATTTTCTCGGTACAGTCAAAGAGTAATCTGTACATCTTATTTATTATTAATAACATTTTTTTAGTATTTTATTCAAAAATAATTTTAGTAACCTTCTATGTCTTGTGAATAGATATCTCATCAGTCTTTTATGGTGTATAAAAATTTGTATTTTATAAACATGTTACAATCAACTGAGTTAAATATTTCTTAATTTATTTTCCACTAAAGCAATTTCTTAGTTGCTGAGAACCTAGCAGACTTAAACATTATGTGAATCGATGAAAAGCCTACCATACCCCTAAAGCAACTGAGACCCGTGAGGTTCTGTCCCTTATTCGACTAAAATTTAGGAGAAATATCATAATTAATCTCTAAATTTTATATCTTATTTTAAAAATAGTTGTCGAACTTCCAAATACCTTAATTTAATCTCTTAACTATTTATTTTGGGAACCCATAATAAATATAGAGAGCAGTGGGCTTGCCTCCATTTTTTCTAATGGATAAAATAAAAAGAAGAAATTTAATGACACAAAATTAATAATTAAAGAACTAAATTAAAATAATAAAAGGTTCAAAGGTCATTTTAAAATAACAGACAAAATTTAAAGACTATTTGTGATAATTAGCTTTGAAAAATCAACCCAAAAAAAAAGGGCAAAAAAACAAACCCTGAATAATCAATGGCACTGGTGTTTCCTTCTAGTCCAACAATTTCAATAAAGATAGATATACCTTGATGTTTTCTTCTTCGTCGTTGAATTCATCGCTGCAGTTAGTCCGGTCATCTTGGCCGGCGTAACCCGAGAAGTAAGCCTCCGGACAC